AAGCGTTAATTGATACTGGGGCCCCCGTTTCTGTGATGAACGCAAAATTTTTTCGCAAACTGAAGAAAGTGACCACATCTCTCTGTGGCATCGTGCTGTCCACGGCTAGCGCGCAACGCATTCATCCCTCGGCTGTGTATACGGCGCGCGTCGTCATCCAAGACGTTTTGTACATCGTCCAATTTTTGTACTACCATCTTGCTCTCATGACCTTATCCTGGGTAGGGATTTCTTATCAGGTCATGAAGCTATCATCGATTGTTGCCGTGCTGAAGTGTCCCTAGTGCCAAGTAGTGAATTTCCATCGCCCGACCATTCACCAATGCTCTGCAAACTCATCGCTGACGACGACATCACCTTGCCTCCAGAAGCTTCAGTCCCTATTAGCCTTCATGTGTGGGGCAACCTGATGCCACGGTGGTGTTTACGCCATCCTCTATTTTTACTGAACGCAAGGGCATCGTGCTCCCATTTCCGTTCTTACAATTGTGTCTGGTTTAACCGTAATGCTGGTTACCAACCACTGCAACTACTCCATTGGCTTGCTTCGTGGTGAAACGTTAAGATATGTGCAACCTGTCGACCATATCAATGATATATTCTTCCCGACGAAACGCCATGTCACATTGCCGCAATCACTCAGGCGTCAAGCCGCAATCACTCAGGCGCCATCAAGCTCACCAGCCTTCGGCAATGCCATTGACGCAGACCTTCCCCCTTCGCATCGCAGCCAACTTGTTGCTCTCCTTAACAAGTTTCGCTCTTCTTTCGACTTTCAGAAACCTACTTTGGGCCGCACCACGACTGTCACTCATACTATTGACACCGGCTCACATTCGCCTTTGCGACAGCGTCCTTACCGCGTTTCTGCCGAGGAGCGCCGCGTCATTACGGAGCGAGTAGATGACATGCTTAAACGTGGAGTCATACAGCCTTCTCAAAGCGCTTGGTTGTCACCCGTGGTACTGATAAAGAAAAAAGATGGCACAGTTCGATTTTGCGTGGACTATCGCCACTTAAACAAGATTACAAAGAAAGACGTCTACCCGCTACCACGATTAGACGATGCTCTTGACTGTTTACAAGGCGCCGAGTACTTCACATCCTTGGATCTGCGTTCTGGGTATTGGCAGGTGCCAATGGCTGAATGTGATCGCCCTAAAAGAGCCTTTGTAACGCCGGATGGCCTATATGAGTTCAAAGTCATGCCATTTGGACTCTGCAACGCGCCTGCGACGTTTGAGCGCATGATAGATACCATATTGCGGGCCCACAAGTGGAAAACTTGCTTGTGTACCTAGATGACATTGTAGTCTTTTCAGCTGATTTCCCGACACATCGTCGTCGTCTCCACGAGATTCTGACGTGTCTAGCTTCTGCAGGCCTACAACTTAACACCAAGAAGTGCCACTTCGCAGCCCAAAAACTAACCATCCTGGGACACGTCATCACAAGAGACGGTGTTCTTCCGGACCCCGATAAGCTTCGAGCTGTCGCTGACTTCCCAATGACCACATCACTGAAAGCCCTAAGAAGTTTTGTTGGTCTTTGCTCTTACTTTCGTCGCTTCGTGCGCACCTTCGCGTCCATCATCGCTCCTCTGACTTGTCTGCTTTCCAACAGCAAAGGTATATCTGCATGGTCACCTCCATGTGACGACGCATTTCACCAGCTGCGCCGCCTGCTGACCTCGCCACCTATTCTTCGCCACTACGACCCCACTGCTGCCACAGAAATTCACACCGATGCAAGTGGCATTGGTCTTGGTGCAGTTTTGGCGCAACGGAAAGGCACCCAAGCTGAATACGTAGTCGCCTATGCAAGTCGCGCTCTCAAGAAGGCTGGATTGAATTACTCCGTGACAGAGAAGGAGTGTTTAGCCATAATCTGGGCGCTTACGAAGTTTCGCCCATACCTTTACGGCCGTCCTTTCGACGTGGTCACAGACCACCACGCACTATGTTGGCTGTCCACCTTGAAAGACCCGTCTGGACGTCTGGGGCGTTGGGCACTTCGATTGCAGGATTACGACATCCATGTCGTATATCGTTCCGGTCGCAAGCATGCGGACGCCGATGCACTTTTCCGATCGCCATTAACACCAGATGTGGCTTCTCTGTCACCCCCTTTTACCACCTTGTCACCACTCGACACCACTGACATGCTTTCGGAGCAGCGTAAAGACCCATATCTTGCCTTGTTAGTCGACTACCTTACCGATCCGTCTTCTGTCCCTTCCACGAGAGCGCTACGCCGGCAAGCAGCCCACTTTCCCTTACGAGACAACATTCTGTACCACCGTAACTACATGCCTGGTGGTCGGAAGTGGCTCCTTGCTGTCCCAACTCATATGCGCTCTGACATCTGCATGAATTTCCATGCAGATCCCGAAAGTGCTCACGAGGTGTTCTGAAAACCTACGAAAGGCTGCGCCAACGATATTATTGGCGAGGAATATATCGCTTTGTGCAGATATACGTTCAGTCTTGCACCACTTGCCAACAGAACAAGACACTTCCGCGGCACCTTACTGGCGTGTTACAGCCGCTCCCGTGCCCGGCTCGCCCATTCGACCGCGTGGGTATAGACCACTATGGCCGCCTCCCATATAGTAGCTCTGGAAACCAGTGGATTATTGTCGGAGTCGATCATCTGACACGCTACGCTGAGACTGCAGCTCTACCGGCAGCGACCGCCCACGAATTGCGCTCTTCATTCTCCGCAGCTACATTCTACGCCATGGTGCTCCGCGGGAATTACTCAGTGATAGGGGTCGAGTGTTCCTGTCGGAGGTCATCCAAGCTATCCTCGCTGAATGCAACATTATCCACCGGAAATCTACCGCATACCATCCACAGACAAATGATCTTACTGAGTGGTTCAACCGCACACTTGGTGGCATGCTGAGGATGTACACCTCCTCCGACCACACTAACTGGGACGCTGTATTGCCCCTTGTTACCTTCGCTTATAACACCGCGACGCAAGCGACTACCGGTTTTTCGCCGTTCTTTCTATTGTACGGCCGCGAACCTTGCCACCCACTCGACACTATACTCCCGTACCGCCCTGATGCATCTGAGTGCTCCCCGCTCTCGGAAGTCGCCAGATACGCTGAAGACTGCCGTCAGTTGGCTCGGTCTCTGACAAGTGAGGCTCAAGGTCTACAAAAGTCTCGACACGACGACGCTCACCACATAGCTCCTACATTTCGTGCTGGCTCCCTTGTGTGGCTTTCGGTGCCCCCGCACGTTCCTGGCCTGTCTTCTAAACTTCTGGCCCGGTACCATAGTCCGTACCGTGTCATTGACGCGACCTCCCCGGTGAATTACATCATCGAGCCATTAACACAATCACCAGATTTGCGCCGTCGAGGACGCGAGACCGTACACGTCTACCGTCTCAAGCCCTACTACGACCCCTCATTGTGCCTACTCCCTGAGTCGCCAGGATGGCTACCCTTCACCCCGGGGGTATTGTAGTGAAGCATACGCACCAACGCGTATGCGCCTTCGGAAGACAACGAAAAGCCCGTGCTCTGCTTACGCGAGAGTGTGTGCCACCTTTGCCAGACTTTGCTGTACTCCCACTTTCCGTTGCGACCTCGTTGCGACTTCTCTGCTCGAATAAACGTCATCACAACAGCAAGAGTACAAATTACCTGTAATGTCATTGCTTTTTAGTTTGCTGAGTTTTAAAAGCGCGCTCTTTCTGCAAATGGAGACACTGCAGCGAGTGAAGTCACCTTTGTGCACCCTGTAACTAGAACTTAATCGTTCTCGTGAAAAACAAAACGTATGTAAATTTCTGTTCCATCGCGAGACAAGCGCCACGCGCACGGCCACCCACGCACTGTTAGGAAAAGTACACGTTTATATGAAGCAAAGTGCCAAGCACGCCCTTCACTCTATCTCAGCATTCTGCTATGAATGCTGAGAACACGCTGGTATTTCCACCGAGATCGACGCAGCATTCGCGGTAAATGGTGTGTACAAATAGCCAACAGTTAAAGCGAAGTATATTCCCTTTGGATGCTAAGTGGTGAACGCCACGCGCTGGGGAGCGAGAGGTCAGCGGTTCCATTCCTTGAATCGGAAATTATTAATTGCGAAGCCTTCTTTGGCGCACATCAACGACATTGACCATAATTGTTCCTCTGCGTAGCTGCCTAAAACATTCAGCTCTCCTGGCCGTTTAGATATTGGAATCTACACCGAAATTGTGTGTGCTAATTTATGGGTGTATGACAAGCTAAGTCACCACACATAACATGAAAATAATGACATGTATGTCATAAATATCATGATATACATGACATTGTCTTGCTGCTTGCGGTGACATGACATAACGCAAAATTAGTATGGCATGACTGGCTGCATGTTTAACATACGTAAGGAACAGGCCCTAACGTGGAAATTATAAATGCATCTCATGTAAGTCATGACTACACGCCACATTCTTGGTGCACTCGTGGCTGCTTTGCTAGCTTCACAATACCTAATTTTTATTAAGTGACGTAATTGAATGACGAAGGTATGTAACTGGTGCAAGCATGATAATCATGGCATGCTTCTTATGTAAGAATATGACTACATGCCATGCTTATAAAGTGCTAGTGGTCATTTCACTAGCTTCACATATGCAAATATACTATTACGTAACGTGAATGAATGGCGAACGTATGACTGGTGCGAAAATGATAATCACGACATACGTGTCACGTAAGAACATGACTACATGCCGCACAGATGAAGTGCTCGCGGCTGTTTCACTAGCTTCACCCACTAAATTTGGTGTTACGTGACGCGAATGAACGACGAAGGTAAACAACACGTGTAAACACGATAATCAATACATTAGTGTCATGTAAACGTGACTACATGCTACACTCATATCGCACTCGCAGCCGTTTCGCTAGCTTCACATATGTCCAAGTTGGCACTACGCGACGCTGGCCTTCCAGCGTTTACCATAAAGTTGTGACTTTTTTTATTTTGCAGGAAATACGCACAGACAAAATTACACTTTTTACAAAGCAGGTAAGTACGCCGCTGCATTCGCATACTCCCTTGAGGAAATAGGACGAGTGTGTTGCGGCCTATGTATTATGGCAACAGCGACTATTATTTTACAGTAAAACCACATGTAACGAATGTTTTCTGCTGTTGTGCATTTCTGGCGCATCTTGCTTCATGTGTACAGCACCTCATATGCCATATACGCTACGAAATTAGGAACAAGCAAGACTGCTTCATTGGCGACTTGTATACAAGTTCGGGCTCTATACAGAATGATAAAGTTAGTTGAGCAATAATTATTTTCCAATTATTAAAGCAATCTGCAAAGCTACCAATTTCCTGCTGGAATCACGGTGACCCAAAACAGATTTGTTTAGAATTAAAAGCATCTCACTATGATCTCTTTTTTTTCTGTAGCTTGAAGCAGCCTTTGAATTCTCTCTATACTGTGGCAGTAGTCTAGAATTTCATTTCGATATTCGAGTTGACCCTTGGTATACGAATTAGAAATTTAGTAAATTTTTGTTTTTAGTTGTGCATTTGTTCAGCAGAAAAAAACATGCGTATCTTGGAGTTTGTGAATACGTTACAACTTTGAGACCACAAATACTGCAAAATATGGCCTAAAAGGCCGGTAGTTCTCGTTTCGACCATGTTGACATTACGCACCTTTTTTTATTTTTAAGTAAAGTTGGTATGCGCTCTTGCAAGCAAAATTGCAGTATCACAGTTTCAGGACGAGAACGAATCAGCTGTAGTGCGTCGGCTTCTGTACATGCGCCATGCCTAGTTCCAGCTTCATTGAAGGTGCTTAGAAGGCTTTACAATAAATGTGACCATTCGCATCCTGCGTGTGATCTGAACAGAATGAGCTTGAACAATGTGGCGCACTTGGCACCTCCTCTCTTTCGCGGGGCCAACTGGGCCACCAAAGCCGCTTATGTATTACTCTCTATTCATGCAGCATGTAACGTTTCAAACTGATCGCTGTGCTTGCGTAACATCCAGAATAAACTTAGCCACCCTTTTACTGTATTTAATCCTTGCAGGGTTATCTCAAACAATCTCAAAGCTTCTAAAACATGTATGGGAGTGGCGGCTCTTAGCACGCCGAGCGTAGGAAGAAGCTTCAGCCAACCTTTAACATTTAGCCTACAACAGCTGCTGTGCCTTCGGCATAGAGTGTTGCCAACAGACTTTAATGTTGCAACCTGACCACATCAAACTAACGCGGCAACCAAGACAGAAAAATACCCAGAGAGTGTCAGTACGACTGATACCGCAATAAGGACCTGTGCTACTTCAAGTAGAGGAATAGAATAACAAGATTTGTCTCTGAATGTGATCTTCTGGGTGGTTTTTTAAGATATATACCTAAATATATACTATATTTAGGTTAGCCTTTTTTCTGGAACGAATACATATATAGCGATATGTGTGTTAAGGAGAAACGTAGAAGCAATCTGGACGTCACGAAGTAATTTATTTCACTAGAGTACCGACCTATCCATTGAACTATCCTTCTTGCGAAACAAACAAGCATGCGTACATGCGTACTTAACAGCTCACTATTATACAATTGTGACTATGCTCGTGCGCATGATTCCCCCGTCTATTGCATGACTTAGATGATGACTCCCATGGTCGTGTTCAGCGACACCGTATAGAGAGTATTGAGGTAGCCATCTGTTTGATGAGCCGAGAACCTATCGGTCAATATGCGAAGTTCTGACCAGCGGTGGGCAAAACTGAGAGTGGTTGAGAAGCGCACGTGCAACCGTAAACGTAACAGGGGTAAGCTGTCTGCATTAAAATATTGCTATACATCAAGAACAACATACAGGGTGTTTAAAAATGCGTCCAGTAATATTTTAAAAGTGACAGAAAAAAAGGTATATGCTTGCTACTCGCGGCGTTGCCTTCCCGTGGCAGAAGGCAGCTTCAGATGGGTACAAACCTTAATTATGGCAGTAGTTATAGAAATTAACAGAATAAACTTTTGAACCAGTGGTAATAGCCGGTCGAGTTAAATGGACGAATTGAAGCCCTTCCTACGACTAATCTATAGCCAATTTGAGATTTTGAAAAATCGGCCTCTGGTAATCACTGCGGACCGATGTAATCTGGCCATTTTAGCTGGCTAAACCGAAACCAATGCACCGAACAGCGCATCTACCATTCACCTCGACAACACCCTGAATGAAGATACTGTTTCCCTCACATTGCGACAGAAGAATAATCGAGTGTCGACAGGCGGCCTCGAAGTGAGTGTCTAAATTGACGATTGATAACAGCGAAGGAAACAGTGCCGTCACTGAGGGCGTTGTCGAAGTGAATGGTACATGAACTCCACCGGCGGCGGTTTCGGTTTCCTCCGGGTAAATCGGGCTCATTGCATTGCTCCGCGGTGAATATCAGTGGCCGCTTTTCCGAAATTTCAAAAAGGCTATGGACTATTCATGGAAAGGCTTGAAATTCGCCCATTTGACTCGACCAAACGATCACCACTGATTGAAAATGTAATTGGCGCTAAATTCTACACTTATTGCCGTATTAAGGTTTAACGCATCTAAAGATGTCTGTCTTCTGCACAGGAAAGGCTACGCCGTAAGTAGCACGCAAATACCCTCTTTTGTGATTGAAAAAAAAAAACATTAGACACATTTCTTGAAACATCCTCTATACTATTACTTCCGCCACTTCGTAAATATGAAATTGCTCTTTTTGTTACATTAAGGTGACCAGTTCTTTCTTAATCCTTCGCTGCCTGCAATCACAAAACATCAGACAAAAATTGTGAATCATCTACTAGCTGTAAGACGTGAAAACTTTTAATAAATTTCCCCAGAAGATCTTTTGAATGAGCTGCCCCTGAAAGCATGGTGCCGTAATATCTTGTTGGCAACATCAATTGTTGTATTTTTCACCTGTGGTATGTTCACGTTGGTGACATGATGAACGTCATATGTTACTGCATATGTTTACTTTGCCAATTTTATCACTACTGATATACTACGATCTGAACAGAGCATTATTCTTTGTAAGCTGTCATTTAAATAGTAACCATGTAACCATTTGTTGGCATTTGCCAGTAAATTATCCAATTTATCAATTTTCTGAGCAACTTCATCGGGGTCTAACAGCCGAACGGAGCACTCTTTCGAGTTCTATTTTGGATCATGAGCTACAACACATAGAATGAGAGCTCCAAGTTTTTATGCGTATTATCGTCATACGACTGACCAAAATAGCTGCTTCAGTCACATACAATGCACACTGTGCTTGAAGTGCGGCATGAGTGGCTCACATTTTCAATAAAGCAATGAATAATGCACTCAGTTTTATTGTAATAATATAATTAACATTGAGGGCTACTAGACCACAATATCGGTATTATAAACGACACGTCCTTCTTAGGACTGCGTACAAGTGACAGTAGCGTTAAGCAAACAATAATTTTTGTTATATTCGAGTACAAAACTGTCAACAAACGTCAGGTGAAGTTGCTTTGCTACAAGTCAGCTGAGCTTAAAAACAGCTTTCAATATAATTTGCGTTGTTATATATTGAAATGCTCTATTTTTTCAGTGTGCGATAACAGACTCAGTGAATCTGCCTGTACCCTTTTATGTAAGTTGCCAATTTAAACAATTGTTAAAACAATTGATTGAAGCCAGTTGGTTTTCAAATATTTAGAAGGTTTAGCCATTTAAAAGATACACCTAGTAGGTAAATATTTTTTATTTAGAGTCAGAAAGTAAAGCTTTACTAAAAAAAGCAGAGAAGCCCCAGCGGAGCTTGGGCACTCAAGCCTGCTGAAAGGCAGAGTAGTAATAGAGTGATGGCGGTTATGATAGTGTCATAGTTATGTGGCGGTAGTCGCCCGTAAGCACGAAGGCGAGGCAACTTGAAAAACAATAACCCTCATTCGAGCGAGCTTGCGCTCATAAAAGAATCGAGCGAAAAACTGTGGGTGGCCTCGAAACAGCCTCTGTGGTTCAGCATCGGCGGGAAGAATGCCCACCCTCTTTTCACCGATACGCATCAGTTTTTACACGTGGTCCACTGCTTATCAAAAGCATGCCCAGCGCGCAAGAGACAGGACGATGCGCTACCGATGCCACAATGTACGTACTGCATAAGCTGAGGGACGGTGCTGCGCAAACAAGTGGGCACCAACACAAACGCACGTGCCAATGGGAGCAGGAGAACGTGCTTCTAATGTAAAAAGCTACTTTTCTGAGCCTTCAAGTTCTCTCGAAAGAGTTGCTGAGACTGTCTAGAACACCAGTGTCGGCACACCACTTTTACGAAAATCTTTTGCCCCGATGTAGGCCAACATTGAAGCTGTTCTGTTGGCTATCGCCAACGTCTATCACATGATTGGGAAACCTCTCATCTACTTGGATGTGCACAGTACTCGAGCTGTCTGAACAGCCGCTAGAGTGCGTGTGTATATCGCCGAGTGAAGGCGGCTTGCTTAATAGACTAAGAGAGTAATGCTGAAAACCAAAGATGGGATTCCAAGCCCTTAAGTTGTCTGGGAAACGCAAGGACTTAACAAGAATGATGGTTCGCAAATATACTTAGCTGGTTCCAGAAACAACACGGTCATATGTGGGTGACGAAAACGCATGGTATGGCGGTGTCACCAAGATATACCAGTAGCCCTAGCAAAGGACCTAACTTACGGCAAGCCTTCAGCGTGTCCTTCCAACACGTTAGGCATGCCCAAAAACCTTTCCAGTCGGTAGTCATGGCTCCTGCGAACATGTTAGCAAAATGGTATAGTGCTGGTTAGACCTGGTACTTACAATTAATCAGATCGTCAGTGATAATTCATTCGCTCTTCACCGGAAAAATGGTTCCATATACCCAGGCATATACACAACCATATACCCAACCATCATCTGCCTTAAGTCCAGGAGCTTTGGTTCATTTGTGCATCGCCAGCAGCATAGTTATCGCTTCCATCATGACATACCTACGCTTTGGCTTGCGGTTACGATGAAAGCAGCAGCGCAAAGAAAACAAAAAAAAAGAAGTGCTCAAGGTCATGACGTACCCTGACGAGTAGACGCAGCTTCTCGCCTCTTCATCAGACCCCTCTACATACGCTGCTTTCAGCACGCTTACTGGTGCGTGAGGAGAGAGGAAACGCCTGAAACGTGTGACTCCGCTTGTACATTACATATTGTAATTTTTTTTCGCAGGAGCCCTTTCGTGAAGCGACAAAGCCTCTCAATCAAGGCCGTTATTGATTATTTCAAAAGTATCTGCAGGCACTACAGCGAAATCATTTAGGCTTTTGGTTCGACAATGTAGTATTAACAAGAAACCGCGACTGGCTATAAGTCACCATGCTGTGCCAAGATCTATTTACCTGAGCTATCTATTGGGGTGTAGTCATAGAGATTTTGATAATGGTACAATAACTAGATCAAGCGTAATAAGTGAAGCCTAATTGTCAGTAACAATTAGGCAAATGGTATTGAAGTCATTTCAAATCAGGACTAGGATAAGTGGCACACGTCTAAGTCCAAACTTATTAGCTATAAAGTAATTAGGTCCAGTCTCATTTGAATCTGGTTATATATTTCAACTCTAATTGATTCGAAACTAGTTAAGGTAATTCAACATGGGGCCTACAGCAGAAGTACAGAACACCAGGAGAAGCTGCTCAGCAGGAAGATCGCCACAATGCTTCCCCTCCCCCAGGAACAAAATACAGCAATGGCATAGAGACACGAATTCTGCTGCGATGTGCCATTGTGATTGATTTCAAGTTGCAAGACCATTAAATTAGCAAGAAGGTCGGAAATGGAAATGCGAATGGGAAATATGGTAGGGCCACCACCGTCACAAATTGCACAGTCCTTGCATTTTTGTACATACTGTAGTGCTGACTGTAGACAAGCAAGACGTTCGTTTGTGCGTGAATCATAATTAATTCTGCAAAATGTAAATTTGCAAGTTAATAAGCGGCTCCGTAAGCAACACATTGAGATAGGTGACGCTGATAACGCTGATGACGCTGATGGCATTTTAAGGAATCTGATAATACTTGAGAGAATGTATTGCTTTTTGCATACTTGTTACGCAGTTTGTGATAGCAAATATACCTTGTAAGCGTTTTTTTCCACGTCAATAGCAATGACAAGAAACCAAGATTGTTTATCCCAAGGGTATTAGCCTTGGCTTATGAATATGATGCTCGTGCAAGAAAGCAAAAGAAAATGAGACATCTTTCATGTTATATTATTTGTTATATTTTCCGTACGTTACAGCTGAGTGAAAGTAAATTTGTCGTCCAGTGGGCAAGGATGCATTTAAAACATTTCTTCAGAACCTTAGCTTAAAGAGAGACTCGACCATTTTTTGAAGAAGCTCATGCAGCTTTGAAGGCAGAACATATGCACTTGATTTTGACTTGCTTGAAAAAGTTTGTATATTTTCTTTCAATACTTTCAGTGTGCCTTTGCCCCAAGTACGATGCGTACGGATACGTCCGCAATGAGGGAGACCGTTGGTACTACAACAACATCACAAACCAATGCGTAAAGCGTATGGCTGTAGCAGATGGCTGCAACGACTTTGAAAACCATAGATCAATGCGAGCGACAACTGTTTCAACGCCACCGAAAGGTCCAAAGCACTTTGGTCTCCAGAACAACTTCAAGCTATATTCGCTAAGCAATACTGAAAGTACTATTACCGAAAGCGATTCTTCCAATGTAACATTGCTTTGTACATTATAACAGAACATGCGAGTTTCTGAAGCACCCAGTACTTCTGTAGCATTCAGATGCTACTAGGTGCATTTCATACGTCGCGTGCCAATGTTGCAGATATTTATATAGAGGAAAAACGCACCACCGCACAACATAAAGCGTATTATTCTTTAGAAGGTCAATTTCTTTCCCCAAGCAAAAAAAAACTAATAAATAACCCCAATACTTGCCTTAGTTGTCTCTGGCACTCGCATCTGGGTATTTCTGTGTCCTTTTGTATTTTGCTGGTTAGCATTGTGTTTCTTCGCACAGTCGCCGCGGATCTCAGAGTCAACGTACAAAAATGTCGTAGCTGAGATATACTCCACTAGGGGCCACGGCCGATCACAGCTGCTCCCAAGTACACCGCACGCTCGTTGAATTTATTTCCATTCATTTTCAATTATTATTCTGGCAGGTAATTGATATTTATTTTATGTAGTCCTTGCCAGACATTTAAACGTGTATATCGCATTTCTCAGGCGGGTACTGTGAACTCTACCGATGTTGTGTTAGTGTCAAAAACAAGAATAAAGACGTTATAACTTTATTTCGCGGAAGAAATCACCTTGGTTGTGTATGAGTGACACTATTGTATCTATTGTATCATTTTTATCCGAAGTAACGTATCCATATGAGGGCATGATGACATTGGCAGGGTAATTTGTTTGCAATTCGAAACAGTTGACTGTGGGGTAAGTTGGTGCTTTGACATAGAAACCATCGTGCAGATGGTACTAAACACAACACACAAGAAATGCCTGTCCTCGTCTGTTTCTTCCTCTGTGTTGTGTTTTGTTGCACCCTCACTTTCATCTTTAATATTAGTATCACGCGGCGACTATCAAGTAACACTCATACGTTCCTAGTCAGGCCTCACTATAGAGCATTAATCATAATCTAGGTACTTCATATACGCCGTCACATGCAAAAGAATACCACAGTTATGTGTGTGATTCTGGAAACAATCGCAGAATAAGGTTGGGTGAGCTACAGAATTACTACGATGATGTGAGGCTTCCGGTATATTTTAGGCCAGTGTAAAAACACACTAGTGCGTGTTCAGAGTGCTTTACCAGTTTCGTCTGAGAGGGAAATCAGACACAATCAAGGCAGGTCTGGAGGATACAACTGTTTTGACATGTTTCGTTGGAAAACAGACTGGAGATTTTTCGTGAAACCCGGGCTCATGCATTTTGGCATGGCCACTGCATTCTGATTTGGTCCTAGCCGTAATTTCACAATGTTCAGCCCTGTTGCCTGAAGTTACGTTGATGATTCTTCTGCGTCGTTTAACGTCCCAAAACCACCATATCATTATGAGAGACTCGCTTGAAGTTACGTTGATGATGCACCTTTTATGCTGCAGAAATAAATATAAAGTCTGCCATTCCCCAAGTATATAGTGTAATAGTACATAAGTCTGGTGTGTGCTAGTGTGTTCTCTAATTGTGATCATGGCATTAGCTTCATTGTCTTTTTTAGTGTTTCAGCTTTGCAATGCATTAGTATGCATGCAGTGTGTGACGTTCTTTCGGTGTCTTGTACAGTGGAGTGTTTTCGCAATTCCCTATATGATTGTGTTTGTATATACATATACTATTCATCTGCTGCCCCGGTCATAGTAAAAGTACAAATATTTTCTGCGCCACGTATGTGCAGGCCTATGACGTATCTAACTTAAAGGGACACTAAAGTCAAATAACAATTTACGTCAGAGTAAAAGCTGAATCTATGGCAACACCTAAAACGACAATATTATCAACAACAGTGTCCTGCTTACCGAGAAACTGAGGTAAATACATAGCAACACAAGCGGTGCAGTGCGGAATTTCTAAAATGATCCCGGTGACAGCA